CAAGAGGGCATGGTCCGAAGTCAAAGGAAAAGCGCCCATGCACACCTTGGTTCTGCAAGTCTGCACAGCAAAAATGACGATGCGTCTCTATGATCCCTTTCAACTCGGTGCCCGGCCTGTCCGAAGGTTGAAGGATTCGAACCAGCTCTGTCTGAGCTGCGAAGCGGCAGAGAGCTGCCGAGGTACAAGAAGTCCGGGGCGAGCATCGTCGGACCAGGCCTTCCGAAGTCACAGCATTGGGGGAACAGAGCAGGAGAGGCTTATAAGATTTATAAGATTTATAAGGCTTAAGGCTTATAAGATTATAAGATGTATAATTATAAGGCTTATAATAAGGCCTAGGCTTCTTCTAGGTTTCTGGGGCTGCTTTGGGTCTGCAGGGACTCGTTCAAGCCCTCCCGACCTTCCGGAAGAGCGAAGGGGCAGCGCGAAGCCGAGCGAGGCGGAATCCGGCACTGACCTGGCATGGCTGAGAGCTGCGCTCAACTTCGAGACTTCAAAATAAGCCGAGCAGACGAGAGGGCGTCCGTTCGTGTGAAGCCAAAGACGGGAGTGATCGCTCCCAGACGAAGGTGGCTCCTGCAGTGCAGCGAAGACGGCCGAGCAGGAAGAATCACAAACTGCAGCTCTACCCTGGCTCCTGGCGAACACTGACGACTCCGAATGCAAGTGGTCGGGTGTTGATGGCGTCGGGCCCAGCCGAGTGCAGCTGTGCGCTGGCAATGAACTGCCAGGGTGAGCCAAGTCTGAGACCTCAGAGTTTTCGCCCGAGTGATATGAGTGAGTGTGTCTCTGCCGACTTGTACTGCGATTACCCATGACTAGTCCACCTTTTTATGGGCCATGCCCAAAGCAGCCGTCAATCAGGACTGGAACCAGTCTCTCATGGCCACGATCAGGCTGCCTATGCTCTATCACACACGAAGCCCGGCCCAAGCCCAGCACGGATGGAGGGAAGCCGAGGCGTGCGAGAGAGCCTGAATTGAAGGCGCAGGCTTGGGCTTGCTCCGGTGTATGTGTCAGGCTCAGCCGCAAAGATGTGGACTGGGAAGTTCAAGCATGCCGGGTTTGTTCCCCCTGTGCTCTTTATGGATGAAGTTGATCACAAATCCTCACAGTTTGCTGCGCTTTCAGAACAACTCCAGCAGTGCATCCAGGCTGCGTGGCGATAACGGAGCTCCCGAATGCACAAGATCGATGGCTGGAATTGACACTCTCGAACAGGCCGCAGATCTCGCAGGCATGCTCGAGCCGACGTGCACAAAGTCAGGAATCAAGGTTGAAGAGCCTATGTGTGCCAGGCTTCTTGTCAATGTTGAAGAGCCTATCATACCAAGATCTGGTGCGAACGCAGCCGATCCTGGCCGCATAGATGAGCGTAGCAGCAACGAGGGGCCGAGTTTCAAGAAGTCCAGCACCGATACCGCGGGATCTGGCCTAGCAGGAGACCGCAGCAAAACCACGAAGCCCAAGGTCGCGAAGTCCGGGGTTAGCATTGGGAAGCCAGTGCCCACGGCCCCGGAGGCAGCTGTCACGGGCCCGGAACACGTAGAGGATTGCAGCAAGGGCGACGGATCAAGGCGCAGGAAATCCATGACCAGCAGGCCCGGTGCAGCACGCACGAGACTTCGCGAAAGCATGCAGGATCCTGGTGCCACAAGGTCAAGAAGCAAAGGGGACGAGCCGAGGCGAACACCACCAAACACAGGAGCAGCCAAACCAAAATGGTTGTGACTTCGCGACGACGTCAGCAGCCCTGAATGCAAGAAGTCAAGCACGGGCAACGTAGAGTTAAATCTAGCAAACGACCTCGAGAGCACCAGCGGCCCCAGGTCAACAGAATCCGGCGCAGAAGTGGGCAAATCCGATTGGCCGCGGCTTTTGAAGGGCAGAGAGACCTCTAAGTGAAGGAGATCAAGTGCTAAGGCGGCTGACCCAAGGCACGCGTAGTTCTGAACAGGAGCCGAAAAGTCTGAGTGCAGGAAGTCCGAAGCCAGGGCGGTCAGGCCGAGGTAAGCGAAGCTCCGAAGAAGCAAAGGGGGCTCCGACAGAGCAGAGTCGGGAGCTGGCAAACTCGACTCCAAGCGGTTCACGCCGAAAGCCGGAGCTGCCAAGCCGAGGTAGCAAAGGCCCCGCAGCGGCAGAAAGGCTTCGGGCTCTGCAGGATCTAGGGCAGGCATGCAACTGTCAAGCCGGATCTGGGAGAAGAGGGAAATCAGAGGGCCCAGATGACCAAGATTGCGTACTGAGAGACCCAGGTCGAGGTGCAAGAAGTCCATCGCAAGCAATACAGCTTCCGCCCTACTGAGGCTGCGCAGCAAAAGCAAGGATCCCAGAGCTGCGAAATCCAGGGCAGGCAGGGAGCTGTCCAAGTTGGCCTGCCCGAAAGGTGGCAAGAGGGTGCCAGGACAGCTGAAGTGTTGGGGTGGCAGAAGCGGGCCCAGGTTCGCGAGGTCCGAGACTGAGGGCAACAAAGCAATCCTTGCACAGCTTTGAATCGGCGTAGCTGATTCGGTGAATGCGTACTCGAGCAAGAACGAGGGCAGTTCCAAGTTCGCCTGTCCGAAGATGAACAAGATGCTCTCCAGGCGTACGGGACTGTGCGAGGCAGGCAGCAAGCCCGGATGAAGGAAGTCCGGAGCCGGCATTATTAAACCCAAATGTCCAAAGCTTCGGAGCAAAGCGGAGCTTCCCGGATGGACAAAGTCCGGGGTCGGAAGCAGCGGCCCGGTTCCTGCAGTCCTCGGCGCAGGCACCGTCGGTCCCAAGCGGCCGAAGGATCGAAGGAGAATTGCAGAGCCCGGCATCAAATGGTCAGTGGTGAGCAGGGCAAAGTCAGGATGCACGAGAGAACGAACAGGCAAGATCAGGCCCAGAGTCGCGGAGTCCAGTGCCGACGGCGGGAGTCCCACCTGTGCATGGGATCGAATTGGTGGGGAGGACTCTAGCGCAAGGAGGTCCAGCGCCGGAAAGATGGAGTCGAGGCATGCGGGACCTCGGAGCAACAGGACCGGCCCCAGATGCAAGAGGTCCAAGACGAACAACAAGGACCCGAGCCTGGCAAAGCTGCGCATGAAGAGCGCGCTGCCCGAGTCCGAAGGGTCCGAGGCCGGCAGCGAGGAGCGAGGCCGGAACCAGCCAGGGGCTGGCAAAGGCGACTCCAATTGGCCCATGCTCCGCAACAGCGGAGAAAGACCAGGCTGCACGAAGTCCAGAGGAAGCAGCCCTGGGCCCATTCTGGTGCCTCCAACGAGCAGCGACGAAGAGCCAATGCGCAAGTGGCTGCGCATCAGAAAACTCGAGTCGGGGTGCAAGAAGTCCGGAGCGAACGAACTGAGACCTAGGTGAGCGGGGCTTTGTGTCAGCAAAGTGGGGCCTGGCTCAACGAGGTCCAAGACAGGGAGGCTGAAGCCCGGACTTCCGACTTTGGGAGTCGGCAGCAGCAAACCAGCTCGGCCGCGGGATTGCGAGGAAAAGGTAAGGTCCAGTCGGAGGAGGTCCAGCATGGGAGCCGCCGGGTCTATGCAAGCAGAGCTCCGCGCCGAAGTTGATGGTTCCAGCATCGCGGAATCCAGAGCGAACAAGGCCGAGCCCGATCGCGACAGCTTTGAGGCCGGCAGGGCAGATCCAAGGCAACCCAGGCTGCGGAGCAACAGAAAGCTGCCTAGATGCAAGGAGTCCAAGGCTGGCAGGGCAAGTCCCGGCCTGGTCATTGATCGCACCGTTGCAAAGGACTCCAAGAGGGCGAAGTCCGACAAAAGTATCGAGGAATCTGGCCATGACAAGCCGCACGGAGGAACGGCGGAGCCCGGACGACCCGTGTTCCGCAAGAAGAGGGTGAGGTCTGAGTGCAGGAAGTCCAGAGCGGGAGCGGCTAGGCCAGCTCGCACGGAGCTTCTGGTGGGCAGAACGAAGCCAAGATAAGTGGGGTCTGGAACCGACGAGAAAGACTCTGAACAGCTCATGCCACAGGGAGAGAATGCCAAACCAGAGCAAGCAAACATTCGCAGCAGCAGACAAGAGCCAAAGCTCGAGAAGGACTGTGCCGGCAGCATGGGGCCCGGATGGAGAAGGTCGGGTGCTGAAGCCGCCAAGTCTGAGTGTGCAAAACTGCGAACAGGCACCGCGAAATCTGAAATGGCAAGGTCCGGCAACAGCGAAAGTGGACCCATCCTGGTACAGTGGGGTGCCAGCATTGCTGCACCGACACACGCAGAGCTGTGAGGTGACAATGGGAAGCCGGAATGCACAAGATCCGAGACCAGCAACAGAACGTCGAAGCGAACCCTGTCCAGGGTCGAGAAAGGCGACTCTGATCTGACCATGTTCTGGAAGAACGTGCTAGAGCCTAAGTGCAAGAGGTCCGGGGCCAGCACCACAAATCCAGGTCGAGCGGAGGATTGCAGTAACGCCAGAGAGTCTGAGATGCCAGGGTCCAGCAGAGACGTTAAAAAGCCAGTCTTGATTGCACCGCAGGCCAAGGAAGCAAATCCCGAACGAGCATGGCTCTGGAGGGACGTGGGAAGCCCCGATTGCAAAGAGTCTGGGACCGACACCGACGCCCCTGCCCAAGTGAAGCTCTGCAGCAACGCCACCAGACCCAAGTGAGCCCGATCCAGTGCCGAGAGAGAAGACGCAAAGCGAGAAAGTCCACACAGCAGAAACGCTGCGTCCATGCAGGCGAAGCTCCTGAGCAGCAGCGGCAAGTCAGAGCTGCCGAAGCTACGTGCAGGTAGTGTCAAGCCCAGGTGTGCAAAATCAGGGACAGGCGACGATGCTCCTGGGCGCCCCCTCATCATGGCAAATGATGTGGGACCAGATCAAGCACAACTTCTAGGGGAAAGTGAAGTATCTGGGTGAAGGGAGTCTGACGCCAGTGCCGCTGAACCGAGTCGGCCAAAGCTCCTGACACTCACCGCAGATCCGGGACTGGTGAGATCCAACACCAGCGAGAGACTTTCGATGCAGGACATGCCGGGCATCGATGAAGCCGATTCTGATCATCCGAAACTGCGCGGTGGCGCGGAAAAGCCAAGATGCAACATGTCCGATGCCAAGGAGGCTGACCCGAGGCAGAAGGAAGATTGCACGGAAATTGGCGGACCGAACAAGCTGCTGTCCAGAACCGGCAAGAACAGGCCCGGCCACGTCAAGCCAGGAGTCGGAAAGGGTGGGCCAGAGCAGGTTGTAGATCTGAGCAGAAGCAAGAAGCCAAGTTCCAGAGAGTCCAGGATCAACAGAGCAGAGCCCGTTCGGGCATGGCTTCGGGCCAGCATGAAGGAACCTGACTCTGCAAAGTCCGACACAAAGGGCGACAGGGCTGGTCGGGAAAGGCCGCATGCGGAGGAGCACAACCCCATCTGTGCAAGCATTCTCGGCAGCGATGCAAGCCCGAAGCGCGCAAAAGCTCTCACAAGCGTGGTGAACTCGAGCTGCAAAAGGTCCAGGGCAGACAAAGACAGCTCTGGACATGTAAGGCCTCTAGCTGGAATGAAAGTGTCAAGCTGGGCAGGATCTGGCGATGTCATCATCAGACCGGGACGAGCACGGGACATCACTGGCAATACCGGCTCGGCGTGAGCAAGACTTTGTGACAAGCATGAGGAATCAGGATGCAGGGGGTCCAGTACAGATGGGGCAGACTCGAGACATGTGGGGCTTCTGAGCAGCGCCGTGAATTCTAAATGCAGCATGTCGGGGACTGGCATCAAGAATCCAAGCTGCAGCCGGCCGGAGGCTGGTGAGGCCGGATCCACGCGGCTGGGGCTTCGAAGCAGAAGCAAGAAGTCAAGATGCAAGCAGTCCAAGGTAGCTAGGGGAAAGCCAAGCCTCGCGCAGGCTCTAGCAGGCAGAAGCAGGCCCATGTGAGCAAAGTCGGGGATCGGCGAAAGCGCATCCAACTTGGTGAGACTCCGAGTCGACAAAGGGCTCTCTGGGCTGGTGGCATCCAAAATCAACAAACTCAGGCCCGAGCTTCCGAAGCCAAACATCAGCGGTAAGGGTGCGATGCAGGCAAAACTGCGCAGAGATGTCGCCAAGTCCAGGCGGAGAGAGTCCGTCGCCGAAAGGGCGGGTCCCGTGCGAGTTAGAGAGCGAGCCAGCAGCGCGCTGCCCAAGCTCAGGAAGTCTGAAACTGACGCCGAAGCCTCCGACCAAGCGAAACTTCTGGGAAACGCTGCACTGCCGGGATGCACATGATCCAAGATCAGCAGGATGAACCCTGAGCGCCCACTGTCTGGCGAAAGCACCAAGGGCCCTGGTCGGCAAGAGGAGCGCGAAGGCAACACGAAGCCCGACTTCAAAAGGTCAGGAGCCGGCGACGGCGACCCCGATCGGCCGGGACTTTGCGGTGATGACAAGGACGCGACTTGAGTAAAATCCAGTGTTGGCGAGAGGAAACCGGAACGGGCACAAGTCGGCACCGAGGCAGAGATTGCCAGGTGACCGAAGCCTCGAAGCGACGCAGTCGGACCCAGGTGAAGGGAGTCCGGGGCCAACGACACACTTCCAAGATGACAGGCGCTTCGCAATGGAAGAGACAGCTCTGACCTCGGTGGAGTCAGAAGTTCACGAGGAACGTAACTAGAAGCGTTTGGGCTTCGGAGGGCCGTTTTTTTTTAAATACCTGCCTTATAATTGAACTGAAGTGCAGCTATGCAGCTGGACGTGATCCGGCACGGGTGGCGTTGAACCAGGCCTGCATTCTCCTGACAATGGGAGTGCCAGGCCTGCACGACGGTAGCTCCGCAGGAGCACCGACGGCCCAAATCGCGTGGAATCGAGTGCAGTCCTGAGAAAGATTTGGGTTCTGTGCTAGGGATTCGAAAAGTTCAGGCGTGTCGCGAGTTGGGAAAGCTGCGCAAAAGACCTGGCAAGGTGACATGACCAAGAAGTAGCTGTCTTCTACAGGATGGCCCTCTTATATACCCATATTATTATCATATCCCATCTCCCCAAGGACCCCAAGCCGTCTCTTACCACGTTTATGCCCACTATCCGAGCTGAACGCCGGCCGAGAGGCGAAGCGAGACCTGGTCTGGCCGGTGACCTCGATGAGGTGGAAAAGCCAAGATGCAAAAGGTCGACCACGAACCTGGGCCACGGGCCGGGCCATGCATGACCACGGGGTTTTCATATCTTTCCTGTACACACTGGACTCAATCCGACTCTATCCATCTACAGTAGCTATCTATTCGGGTAAGGTGAGCTACCAGGGGGGTTTTCTCGTTCCACACCGGCGTCTGTAAGAAACGAACACAATTTTGCTCGACAGGAACCAAGCAACAGGGCGAAGCCTGCAGTGGCAGAACTTTGCACAGGCAAGGATAGGCCAGGACTCAGAAAGTCCAAGATCAACAGCGCAGGTCCCGCCCTTCCTGCGCTACGAACGGGCGAAGGGAAACCCAAATGAAGAAAGTCTGGAGCCAGCAATGCAGGCCCGAGCCGCGCGGAGGACCTGATGGACATTGAAGGATCCGTTTCCACAGAATCCGAAGCCAAAGCCAAGGGCCCCGAACGAGCGAGCTGCCTAGTAGACATCGCGGAACCCGTCAAGACGCGATCGGGAGCCAACAATGACAGAGCCATCTGAACACGACCAGAGACCGGGAACGGCGACCCCGAGCACATGTGCATTCGAGGAGATGAGAAGAAGCCAAGTTGGAGGAGGTCCAAAGCTGGCAGGTTGCTGTCAGCTCGCGAAAAGCTCCGCAAAAGCACTGCCAGGCCTAACGCGGCAAAATCTAGAATCAACGTGCTGACTTCGAGACGGGCCGCACCAGACACCAGCGACAAGCTGCCCAGTTGCGCAAGCTGTCGCAGAGACAGAAGCAGACCCATTCTCAAAGAGTCCAATGCAGACAGAGGTAGCCCCAAGTGACTAAACGAGCGCATCAACAACAATGGCCCGGCAGTCGCGCAGTCTAAGAGCGAGGTGGAAAGACCAGGGCACACTAATCCGAAGACAAACGACCTGGATCCCACTTGGGAGGACGTTTGCAAGGGCATCGAAAATTCAAGTTTCAAGAGGTCTAGAGCGACTGAGGTTGGGCCTGAGCATGCGCAGCTCCTGAGAGGCAGCAAAAACCCGAGGTTCAAATAATCAGGTGCCAGCAAGGGAAACTCCACTTTGGCCGAGCTTCGCACGAAGAGGGGACTCTCGGATCTCGCAAAGCTTGTGACTGGCAGCGGGAACACGGGGCCACACCGGGACGATCCCAGGACTGGGGGCGGCAGCTCAAGACGCATGGGATCTTGCATCGAAGGAGACACTCCTGTCCGAAGAGGGTCCAGCACCGAAGGAGACGGGCCCGATTGTGTGGAGCTTCGCAGCAGCACGCTTGGGCCCGTGTTCGAAAAGTCCAGGGCAAAAGGCAGGGCACCCGGGCAGGAAAGGCTCCTGAGCGGCAGAGCAGCGTCCAAGAAAGCATGATCCAGAACCGAAGCCATGAGCCCCGGTCTGCAGCTTCCCGTGACTGACATAACAGAAGCTATCCGGCCGGGACCCTGAGGCAGAAGCAAGCTGCCAGGCTGAGCGAGGTCAAGCACTGAAGGGCAGCTGTCCAAGTGCGACGTAGACCGTGGCAGCAGCACGGAGCCTAGAAGCACATGTTCCGACACAGGAAGAAAGACTTCGAGACGGGTGCACCCCGGGAGAGACGACATCGGCTCAGATCTGCCCAGGGATCGCGAAGAAAAGGAGAATCCAAGATGAAGGGGGTCTGGCACAGAGGCCGAAGAGCCTAAAGCACCTCTCTGCGAGGCCGACAAGATGGGACCCAAACATGCGAGACAGCGTAGGAGCAGCAAGAAGCCAAGAGTGAGGAGATCCGGTGCAAGCATGGCTGAACCGGAGCGAGTCGCACTTCGAGCTGGCAGCAACGGCCCTAAGTTGAGGAAGTCCGTTGCAAGCGGTGAGGGGTCCACCTGGGCCGAGGACCTGACAGGCAAAAAGGGCTCGAGATGGGCGAGATCCGAAGCAGGTAGAGGAAAGCCGGATCGTCCGATGCCCGAGGGCGGCGTGGAAGAGCCCAGGTGTGCGGAGCTCTTCAAAAGCATGGCCAACCCGGGTCTGAGAGGATCCAGGACAAGCAAAAGGACTCCGAGTTGCCCAGAGCTTCGCAGAGCCGCCGGAAAGCCTGGACTTACGTGCTCCGGCAAAGGCAGTGAAACATCCGAGCAAGCCTGTCCACAAGGGGGCATTGTAAAGCCGAAGCGAAGGGGCGATCGAGTTGACGAGAAACTGCCAAGATTCAGCAAGTCCAACACTGACAGGGGCAGCTCAAGGCAAACAGAACTGCGCACAAAGACGGCCGGATCTGGATCGACACAGTCCAAAGCAAGCGACAACACTTCGAGGCAGACGAAGCTAATGGCTGATGACAAAGGCTCAGCATGGCCGAGGGACTGCGATGACGACGGCAAGCCGGGCTTCAGGTGATCCAAGACCGACAGAGATGCTCCGAGTCACAGGAAGCCATGTGACAAGGCAGAAGGTGCCGGGTTCGTGAAGTCCAGAACGAGAGGCAAAGCACCGCATCGTCCGGCGCCTGGAGCAGGCAAGACTGGCCCAGAGTGCTGCATGCTCTTCAGAAGCAATGCCAGACCCGGATTCAAGAAGTCGAGTGCGAACGGAATGGGGTCCACTTGGGAGGAGCTGCGCGGCGGTAAGCTCAAGCCGAAGTGTACTGCCGCTATCACGGAAAGGGAGAATACACTTCCAGTTCGACTTAGTCCGGACACCGGCGCAGTGGCGCCTGGACACTCAGGGCTGCGAAGGGACGGGAAGGGGCCGGGCCGTGCGGGGTCCAAGACTGGGAGTGAAGCTTCGGAACGGCCAGGGCTCCTTGAAGACGACGAAGCACCAGGGTCCAAGAAGTCAAGAACAGGCAACGATAGTCCTGGGCGGGTCCTGTCCGGTGCAGGAGGGCACGAGCCCAGGCGCGTGCTGCTACGAAGGGGCAGCAGGGGGCCTGGATGCAAGAAGTCCGATGCCAGCAGAGCAACGTCCATGCAGCAGGGACTTCGAGGCAGCGTCAATGAAGCCAATTGCACGGATCTGAAAGCAAGTGCAAGGGTACCCGGCCAAGCGAGGCTTTGGACAGAGAGAGGAGGCCCCGAGTATGCAGAGTCGAGCGCCAAAGCAGCCAGCTCAACGCAAGCCACACCGGAAGCCGTCACCGAGAGGCCAAGGCAAATCCCACTCCTTGGGGACGAGGAGAGGCCTGGCTTCAGAAGGTCCAAGGCAGAAAGTGTCAGATCAAGTTTGCAGAAGCTCCGGGCGGATGGAGACAAATCGGGGTGCAGGAGGTCAAGAACAGAGAGACTTGAGCCAGACCATCCGCTGCCGCATAGGAAAGGAGTGATGCCAAGTCGCGTGGGGGATCTTGTCGAAGGATTTGGTCCCAAGTGCAAGGGATCCAAAGCCAGCAGCGCAGCTCCCAAGTATCCGATACTCCTGGGCGACGATGAAGGTCCCAAGTGCAGAAAGTCCGATGCCGACAGGAGCAGTCCAAGACTTGTCCTGGAAGATGCCACCGGGGTCGGCCCCAGGCGCGTCACATGCCGGATCGAAAGGTTCAGCTCTGATCTCGCGAGATCCGGTGTTGAAGGCACCAGGCCCAGGCAGCTGTGGCTCTGTGGTGGCAGAAGTGCACCGAGGCTTGCCATGTCCGAAAGCGACGAAGGGGAACCTAAGCGCGACTTTCCGAAAGCCAGGAAGGACGGCCCCAAGACTCCAAGACTTTGTGGGGACATGAGGGAGCCCGGTCTGACGAAGTCCAAGACGGGCGATGAAAGCCCAAGGCGAACAGATGACTTTGCAAACGAAGCAACTCCCGGATTCACCGAATCCAGCGCGAACAAACTGGAGCCGAGGCTAGCCCAGGCACAGGCGGACGTGGACACCCCAGGGCGGCCGAAGGACCTTAGAGGCATGGTGGGTTCAAGCTTGACAAAGTCCGGGGCCGAGGATGTAACTTCCGACTTTGCGGAGGATCGTAGTGGAAGCGCGAAGTCTAGGCAAGCTGCTTGGATGACAGGCAGGAAGAAAACAGGGCCCGTCCGGTTCAGGCCCGAAGCCGGCAATGTAAGCTCTGGGCAGCAGTGGCTCTTCAAGGACAAAGGGGACTCCAAAGTCTCGCGATCCGTCACAGAGAGCAAGAAGTCAAGCTGCAAGGAGCTCCGCAAAGGAGGAGCTGAGCCCAGTGTGACATAGTCCGAAACCGAGAGCATCAAACCGGCTCAACCGGTACCGGAGGCAAAGAGTGCCAAAGCCAGGCAACTAACATCGTGCAAAAACAGCGCGGACTCGAGGTGCAGAAAGTCTAACACCAAAAGGGCTAAACCAACTTAGGCGACGGATCTTGCCGACAGTGGTGAGCCCGGGTGAAGGGAGTCTGGGACAGGGACGGCTGGGCCCAAGCAACCATAGCTGCGGGAAGAAGGAGAGCTGCCTGGGGTGGTGTGGCTCAGAACAGAGAGCGGCGAACCCGAAAGCGTAGAACTCTTGACGGATGATGGCAAGCCTGATCTGGTGCTGTCAGTCACAGGGAGAGTGAACACGAAGCCTGATCGGGACAAGCCTGAAACGAACAGCATGGGCTCCAGGCAGGCAGGCTGCTGTAAAGGCAAAAACACTTCCAATTCCACCAGGTCCGGCGCCGGCAACACAGAGTCAAGGCAGGCGACAGAGTGTAAGAAAACCGAGAGCTCTGAGTTCGTAAAGTCCAAGACGGGTGAGGAAGCGCTTGTCCTGGTACGGCCCATTGCTGGCAGGGTCAGCTCTGTGCGAGAAGGGGAACGAAGTGATGCGAACAAACCGGGGTGCAAGGAGTCCAACACCGGCAAAGCAAGCTCGGGCTGCCCTACACTTTGTAACGAAGGCGCGAAGTCTGACCTTGTGTGGTCCGAAGCTGTCATGGATAGCCCCGAGTAACCAGGGCTTCGCAAAGCTGACAGTGGACCCAGCCTGACATGGTCCATTGCTAGAAGGAGCGAGCCGGATCGCGACTCACCCAAAGGAGGCGCAGCAGGGCCGAAGCAAGCCGTGGTACGGATCGAAGATGACAACCCCAGGACAGCAAAGTCCGTCGCCAACATGGACGAGCCAAGAAGCCCCCTTGTCGGCACGGACAACACAGAGTCAGCGCGTGCCAGGGAATGCAACGGTGACAGAAAGCCAGGGTGCAAGAGATCCAGAACTGAAAGGGCCAAGCCTGGCCGCACAAGAGATCGCGCTGCTGCCGCAAGTCCCAGGCATGCAGGATCCATCATTGCCAACAAGAGCTCAAGCCAGGACCATCCAGACGAGAACACTGCCAGGCCGACACAAGCAAGCTTCCGTGAAAGGAGCGGGAGCCCTGTCTGCAGGTAGTCGAAAGTTGACGAGGTGCTGTCCAGGCAGTTATAGGATCGCAGGGGCATAAAGCTTTCTAGGTTCAGGAAATCCAAGGCCAGCACAATCCAGCCAAGCTGCGCAGGGCTCCGCATCAGTGGCCCGGGTCCGGGATGCAAGGAGTCCGTTGCAAACAGAAGCAAGCCAATGCCACCCCTTCCAGAAACCAGCAGGCGCGACCCTGACTGAGAGTAGCTATGCAAAAGAAGAGGAAACCCCGGATGCAAGAAGTCCAGGGCCAACAGCATACTTCCGAGCTGAGACATGCCATAGACAGAAAGACACGACTCAGGTTGAAAAAATCCGTGTAACAACGCTGGCAGCCCCAAATGGACGGGGTCTAGTGCAGGTGGAAGCGAGCCCGGGCAGGTGAGTCCGTAAGCTGAGGTCATCAAACCCGTGCGCGCGAAATGCTGCAGAAGGGGCGCAGAGCCAAAACGCGAAAAATCCGGTGCTGGCACCGTCAAGCCCATGCAGACTGCGCCGAAAATCAAGGGAGAAGACTCGGAACGCCCGGAGCTGTGAAGAAGCGTAGACAACCCTGGGACCAGGAAGTCCTCGGCAGGCGCGGGCGGCAGAAGGGAAGATACTTTAGCTACAACCGTTCCTGTCTGGTGCAATGGTGGCTCTCAGTGGCGTAGAGGGGTAGGCGAGACTTGCTCCCAAACTCAACAACTTTTCTAGGTTGCCCAACATGATGGAAAGTGAGCGACAACTTTATTCAAGGGAATCTCGTCTGCTGTGAAGACTTTCGCAGGCGTTGGAAAGCAGCAAAACCATTGGTTGGCTTTCTGGTGGCATTTGGATGTGATTCTGTGGAGTCCCGGTTTGTGTCTTTTGGTATTGGGATGTTGTGTGTGTGTGTGTGTGCGTGTGTGCGTGCGTGTGCGTGTGCGCTGTTGCTTTTGTATTCGTGTATTGCGCTGTTTTGGTGTTTTGGCTGGCATCATGTCGCGTGCTCGTTAGGACCCGTCCGGATTCAGAGTAGGCTATCACGATCTTCTCAAGGGCTCCAAGTTAGTAGGATCTACTGAAATATCTGCAGCAAAGGCTCAGGCAATGGCAACAAGCTGCCCGAGAGTGTGACGCCATAGGCTGGCAGAGTACTGCCTAATCGCGAAGGACTCCGCGAAGACGTAGGCAGACCCGTGTGCACCTGAGTGTGGGAAATCACGCAAGGGGGAAGAAGGGTGAAACAAGCCAAAACAAGCGAAGCTTTCGGACGACCTTTCGTACCAACTGGATGCAGCTGAGCGACAAAATCCAGCGCCGGCGGCACACTTCCCAAGAAGTTTAAGCCATAAGCAGAGAGCGTCGGCCCCAGTCAGACAAAATTTTGGAGCAGAACAACGGTGCCTGAGCTGGACACATCCAGCACAAAGACGGAAGTTTCTGACCGAGAAATCCGGAAGGTTAACATCGCAACATCCAAGCATGCAGGAGTGCGCAGAGGCAGAGGCACTCCCAAACAGCACTCGGACAGCACAGGAGAGAAGACATCCAGACACGCATGAGATCGCAACAGCATCAAGGGGCCCAGGCATGCATAGTCAGGCGAGGGAGGTGAGATTCCGAGTCGACTACTGGACATGACCGGAAAGGATGATCCAGGGCGCATCGCAGCACGTGCTGAGGGAGAAGCACCCGGGTGCAAAAAGTCCACCGGTGACATCGGGAGCCCGAACCGGGCCGACTTGAAGACAGGCGTAAACAGCTCGGACCGCAACAAGCTTCGCATTGACAGAAACACTCCTGCACGACAAGATTCCACGGCCGGTACGGTGGGTCCTGAGCGCACATGGCTTCGAACAAACGTCAGCGAATCTAAGAGCGCGTGTTCCGATGGTAGCAGCAATGGGCCGGAGCGGCTACTGCCTGCGGCCAAAAAGGCAAGGTCCAAGCAAGTGAAGTGCCGCGTAAACACGGATGGACCGAAGCCAATGCGGTCCAGCAGAGGCAGGGAAAGGCCAAGTCGAACGAGGCTTCGCGTCGACGGCGCCGGGGCCGCGTGAGCCAATCCAGCAACGAACGAAGTAAAGTCTGCGCGGCAAAAGCCTTGAACAGGCAGCGCTGCCCCGAGGTGAAGGGGGTCAAGTGCCGCTGGAGAAACGTCAGGCTGAGAACAACCGAACACAGGGGACCCAGAAGCCAAGCGACCGAAGCTTCGCGAAGATGGCGGCAAGCCGGGGTGCAGGAGGTCCGACACTGGAAGGGGTGGTCCAAAGCGAGAACCTCCCGGCAAGAGTGGCGACGCTGCTGCGCACGAGACACTCTGCGAAGACACAGAGGACCCCGAGTGCAGGAGGTCCAATGCAGAAGCTGAGAAGCCGAATCTGGTTTTTCCGGAGAGTGAGAGCAACGCGCCCAGATGCCCAAGATGCTGCAAAGGCAAGAAAGATCCAGCTTGGCAGAAGTCCGAAACAAGTAGAGCGACCTCCAAACAAGAGAGGCTCCGGAGCAAAAGGATGCTTCCCAAGCTCACGAAATCCGGAGCCAGAGGTGGAAACCCTGGTCGGAGACCTCCCAAGACCGGCGGCCCTAGTCCAAAGCGAAGGAATGCTCGCAGCAACGGCAGAGGCCCCAACTCGGTGACCTCTGGCGCCGGCAGAGGGAGCTCTGAACGGGCTTGCCCAAAGATAAGCAAGGTCAGGGCCAAGCAAGCGTACTGCCTTGGCAACACAGAGAAGTCCAGCTCACCGAAGTCCGAGGCTAGCATGAAGCTACCAAAGCGCGCTAGCCCTTCAGCACTGAAGGTTTCGTCAAGATGGGCAAGCTGTCGCAGAAGCAAGGAGAGCTCTGGTCTGAGGGGATCCAGAGCCGGTGGCGTGCTGTCACAACACACCATGCCCTCAGCAGACACCAGTACTCCCAGACATGCGGACGAGCGAGGCAGTAACAGCGAGCCGAGGTGCACAGAGTCGAGAATCAAAATCACGAAATCAGGGCGCGCAGCGCTGCGGAGCGATGCCGTGCTTCCAGGGCGCAGAGAGTCCAGCACAGAAAGCAGCGAGTCCGCGGTCACTTTTCCAGAGACGAGAAGTGCCGATCCCACGCAAGTGAGTCCTTGCAGCAGTAGCACCAAATCCAGATGCAAAAAGTCCAGCACCGACAGGGCCAAGCCATGACGCACATGGCTTCTCGTGAGCAGCGGAAAGCCTGAAAACACGGAGTCCAAGGCAAGCAAAAGCAGCGCCGGATTTGCACGATCTGCAACGAGCGATGTGGCTGCTGAGCGCGAGAAGGTCCGGGGAAACAGTACAGAACCAAATTCGGCAGCATCCGCCACAGGAGGCAGTGCCCCCAGCCTTGCACAGCCCAGCACTGGTGAGGTTGAGGAAGAGCATGCAGACTCGCGTGCTGGCGATGGAAGTTCGAGTTCCGTGAAGTCCAAGATGGGCAAGGATGCATCGCATTCTAGGACCCTAGCGATCGACGACGTTGGACCCGGACGCAGCATCTGACGCGCCGACAGCGGGGCTCCGAAGTGCTGGGAATCCAGGACAAGGGTTGTCGAACCCAACCTATGAAGCCCAGTGGCCAAAGTCGCAGATCCCAGGCAGCCCAACTGTCGCAGTGACGACAACAACTCAAATTGAGTCGCATCGAGAACCAAGAGAGCTGTGCCCAGACGTGCCCGGCCAACTGCGGAAAGCGTGCTGCCAAATCAACTGGGCTGCCGCAGCATCAGCGGAGACTCCGATCGAGCCATCTCCAGGGTGGAGGGCGCAAAGCCTGGGCGAGAAAGGCTTCGGGGGAAAAGCAACGCCTCCGTGTGGGCAGAATCCAGGGCGGGCAGCGAGAAGCCAGAGCTCGCCCTGCCGATGGCCGAAAGGAAGGGAGCCAGCCTCGCAAGTTCTCGAAGCGGGAGCAACGACCCGAGCATTGCAAGATGCAGAGCAGACGGCACCGGGTTCGAGCATGTAAAGCCACGCACTGACGGCAGCAATCCAAACTCAACCACGTCCAGTGCAGACAGACTTGCGCCAGACCTGGCAACTCCCAGAAGAGGCATGGCTGAATCGAGGCAAGCGAGCGAACGGACGGACACGAAGCTTTCTGGGTTCGAGAGATCAAGCACAAGCGCGAAGGCATCTGAACGAACGAGGGATTGAAGGGACAGCAGAAGGCCAAGATGCATAAGGTCTGGCACTGGCATAGATGACTCAAAGCAAGTGCTTCCAGGCATAAAGAGCGGAGCATCCGTGTGGCCATGAAACCGCAAGAGTGGCAAGGGCTCGAGATGCAAGAAGTCAGGGACAAACAACACCAAGCCAGGTCATACACTGCTTCGTAGGAACAGCAGGAAGCCGAGCACAACGGAATCCAGAGGAAGCGTCGTGGATTCTAGCCGTGCCTCACCAAACACCAAAACGGCACTACCAGATCAAGCGGATTTCCGAAGCAACATCTGCGGTCCCGGAAGTTGGCGATCCAGTGGAAACACCGGCGTCTCCATCCTCACAGGGCTCTTGGCTAGCGGCGAGGATCCCAAGCGCACCGTGTCCATCACAAGCGGTGTTGATCCAGGGCGGAGGCTCCCAAAGACCGAGGATCCACTTCCAGGATGCTGAAAACTTCTCGAAAACAGAGTCGGATCGGGGTGGGAGCTGTCCAGGACAAAGGTAGCCGCATCCAAGCGCGAGAGGCTCCTCAGCGAAACCAAAAGGCCCATGACTGCGGAGTCCGATGCCGTGAGGGAAGCACCAGGGCGGACGTAGGATCCGGCCACAGTCGAGGCGTCCGCACAGGAATGGCTTTGCAACGCTGGCGAGGGTCCAATGTGCCCGGCATCCAAAGTAGAAACGAAAAACTCTGAGCAGACGTGGCCGCGCACCAGTATTACCGTTCCGGGATGGAGAAGGTCTGACACCAGCGACGACGAGCCAGAGTTCACGTTGCTATACACAAAGAGACTCAGGCCAAACCGTGACAATGAATGCGAGGATGATGCAAAATCTAGTCGGAGGGGGTCGAGAACGGGCGGAATGGAGCCAGAACGACTGAGACCGAACACAGCTGACGAAAAGGCTGAGCAAGCCACGTGTCTTGCAAACGGCGGCGAGCCCAAGTATGCAGAGTCTGACACAAAAGTGGATGCATCCGGGCGCCAGGCACCTTCACACAAGAAGGCAAAGCCCGGGCACGCAGTGGATCGCGAGGACAGAAGGAAGCCCATTGTGAGGAGATCCAAAGACGGCAGCACTGGGCCAGAACGAGCGCAGCTGAAGCACGGCACCGGCAGGCCAGATTGAGCGACAGCTCTGAGTGGCGTCGGAAAGCCCAAGCGCGTGGCGGCGAAGGTTGGCAAGGGCGGGCTTGGGCGGCTAGGAGATTGGAGCAAAGGCGGCAGGCCGGGGTGCACACTGTCAGTGACCGACAGCGAGAAGCCCATGTTCACCAGGCCAAATGCCGAGAAGGACAATGTCGGTCGTGCAAGGTTACGCAACAGCATACTGAAGCCTGGCTGCAAGAAGTCCGAAACGGGCGTGAAGGAAGCGAAGCGAAGCAAGCCAAAAACTGGAAGGCGGCTGCTGGCCCAGGAAAAGCTTTGTAATGAGCAAGAGGGTCCCATGTGCAGAAGGTCAGACGCAAGCAGAAGAGACTCGGATCTGGAGACATCCGTCACGAACAAACTTGCCCCGAGACGACCAATGCTGCGCACGGAGGGCGACAATCCGAGTGAAAGGGGGTCCATCAGTGGCGCAGCTGGATCGGGACAGACGAGGCTCCGTGCCAGGGCTGCTGAACCCAAGCCCACAAAGTCCGATGCAGAGGGCAAGAAACCCAAGCGGACGTGGCCGCAAGCCAAAGGAGCTAAGCCCGTGCGGGCAAAGCTTTGCACGGCCATGTTGGCTTCTGGACAAGCACATCCAAAGGGCGAGGAGCACAAGCCGAATTGTGCTACACTGCGCACGGAAAAGATTGAACCGAGGTGAGTCAAGTCCATAGTGGGCGTAGACAATCCCATCTTGGAGCAGCTGAAAGTGGGGAAAGCCAAGCCCAGTCGGGACTTCGACCGCAACAACAACGGCAAGCCGGGGATGGCCACATCCGATGCTGGCAGTGACACTCCTGGGCAGCTGAAGGATTGCACTGGCAACACTGTGCCAAGATGTACGAAGTCTGGAACAGACAGAAAACTCTCCAAACCGCTGTAGGAAAACACGGACGAGCATGATCCTGGCCATGCCATGCTGCGTGAAGGCGCTAAAGGCCCTGTCTCAAGCAGACCCAGTGCCAGCAGCAGCGTCTCTAAGCTTGCGAGAGAGAAGGGGGAGGGTGTGGAGCCAAGCCCAGCGGAGGCCTGCGACAGCGGAAAAGATCCCAGGGCTGCGCGATCGAAGGCTGGTGGAAGAGGACCCGGCCGTGTCAAGCTGGAAGCCGACAACACTGTACCCGTGCGCAAGCGGCTACGAAGCAAAAGGGGCAAACCAGGCTCGGACATGTCAAAGACCGATGGCGAAGCACCCGAGTGCCCACGACTGATCGGTGAAGTTTCGAAGCCGAGGCATGCGAGGGACCTCAACAGCATTGGCAATCCAAGATTCAAGAAGTCGGCAACAGACATCAACGGGTCCGTTCGGGCCAGGTGGGAGGCTGGCAGCGTGAAGCCCAGCCATGCGCGGCCCCTGGCAGGTGGTATCGACTCCATACCTGAATGATCGGGCACAAGAGCCGGCAAATCCGTGCAGACCTGACCAAAGAAGGGCATCGTGCTCTCCGTGCATGCGCAGCTTCGCAAGGGCAGGATGGGCCCGGGCCGCAAGAAGTCCAGGACGGAAAGTCCGCCTTGACCACAGCGGCAGTATTGGAATGTTGCCGTGGGTGGGCCGGGTCGACCAAACTCCCTGGGAAGCGGAATTGCTCCGAAGTAAGCCGAGTCCAAGACGAGCGAGGAGGAGTCAGCAAGAGCCCTGCCAAAGAGCAGAGGAGTAGGGCCAAGCCTCTGGAAGGACTGAAGCGACAAAAACGCATCCGAATTGGAGAGTTCATAAACTGACAAGGAAAGGTCCAGTCGACTTTCTCCAGACACAAACAGCATAGCACCAGGCCTCCCCCTGCCACGCAGCGACAGCAGTGATCCGAGCGCCATACATGCGAAGACAGGTAGGGTCAGTTCAAGGCAGACTGTGCCAAAAGCAAAGGGATGGGAGTCCAGGCATGCAATGCTGCGGGCTAGCAGCAAGGATCCTGGTTCGGACACATCAAAAGCAGAGGGTGTTGAGTCAAATGAGCTGTGCTGGATTACGAAAGCGAACAGCTCTGGGCAAGCCGTGCTTCGCACTGGCAGGGAGGAGTCCGTGTTTGCCAGATCCAGTGCCGACGAAGACGCGCCAGATTCTGCAACACCCCAGATGAATGGGCGGGGGCCGGATCTCGAATGGCTCCGTGCAGGGCAGGCGGAGCCAAGGTGAAGGGAATCCAAGGCTGGCATCGAGACTCCGGAGCAAGTCCTTCCAAAAAGAGCCGGAGTGCTATCTAAGCCCACAAGAGACCTAGCGAGCATCGAGGAGCCCATGGCCGCAAGATCAAGCAGAAACATCAGCGAGCCACAGTTGCTGAGGCCAAAGGTTGAAAAGGGCAAGCCCGACCGGGCACGGGACCGTATGGGCAGCAGCGGCCCGAACTCGGGGGAATCCAAGGTGAAGAACGCCAGCTCCGTCCTTGCGGCTCCAAAGACCAAGAAGGGAAGCCCCGAGCAAGCGGAGCCCTGTGCAAGCGGAGAAAAGCCGAAAGAGCCGGAGTCCAAAGCCGCAAGTGAAAAATCAAGACTTGCGCGGCTGATCGCCAGAAGGATCGAGCCCAGCCTTCCAGAGGACCGCAAGCTTACGGTTGGACCGGAGAGGACCCTATCCAGCGTGGGGAGCGAGAGCTCCGGTCGTGATGCTTGGAAGACTGGAAAGATAAGGCCCGGCTGTGCTTCGCCTCGGGGCGAGGGAGTCGAGCCTGAGCGAAGAAAGTCCGACGCCGACGTGACAGGACCAAAGCGCGCAAGGCCAAGGCAGGACGGTGTCGGATCTGGGAAGGCAGCACCTCGGGTGAACATCAGACTGCCCGTCTCGCTCATGTCCGGCGATGGCATCGTAGGGCCGAGCCGCATCTTGCCGGAAGTCAGAAACATTGAGCCCAAGCATCCATGGCTTCTTGAAGGCAGCAGTAAACCGAGATCTGCAAAGTCCAAACTCAAGAGAGACGAGCCCAGCCGCAACTTCCCGAAAGGTGATGTTGAGCTACCAAACTGCGCCACACTTCGTGAGGAGGTCGGGCTGCCTGAGTGGAGAGGGTCCGAAACCAGCGTGCTCGCATCCATTCGAACAGCACTGAACGACAGCATCATGCTTCCCGTTCTGGCAGAGCTCCGAGGCAAAGGCGGACTGCCGAGCTTTGCGAGATCAAGAGCCGAAAACACCAGTCCCGGTCTCGAGAAACTCCTGATCGACATGAAGGAGCCGGGGTGCACGTAGTCGGGACTTGGCAACGTCGATCCAAGGCGCATCACCCCAGACACGAACAAGACAGGGCCGAAGCATGCCCTACTGTGCAAAGACATGGGCAGCTCTATCTGAAGGAGGTCGGAAGCAAGCGGAGGTACCCCGAGGTGAGCATAGTTCCTCATAAAGGGCGTTGGGCCAAGGTGAACAGAGTCGACTGCAGATGGTGTGAGCTCGGATCGAGCCAGTCCGAAGACAGGAGACTTGGAACCCAGACAGCTGAAACTCTTGGCCAGCATCGTGGATCCCAAACCTGCCATGTCAAAAAGAAGCACAATGCTTCCTGACTGCATGTGCCCGAAGACAAGAAACGCGAAGCCCAAGTAGCACATGGCTTGCAACAGCATCAGCGATCCGATGACAGCGCAGTCAAGGAGCAAGAGCCTGGGGCCAGTGTGACAGAAGCTCCTCAGAGACGGAGACACCTCGAGTTGAACATGCTCCGACAAAGGCGCGGAAGGGCCTGGCCGAGCATGCCCGCATGCAGCTAGGAAGAGGTCAACATGCGAGAAGCCGCGCAGTGGTAGAAAAAAGCCAAGCTGCGTAGGATCTGACGCCAGCGTGGTGAGGTCTAATCGTGACCACGAAGCTATGGGGAATGGGAAGCCCGTTTGTGTAGAGCAATGAAGAAACGCTGAGAAGCCAACCTGAAAAAGGTCTGGTAAGAACGAAGCCGCGCCCGATCTGGCAAAGCTGCGCAGAGCTGGGGGCAAGCCGAGAGTGGCGGTGTCCAGTATGAAGGAAGCTAGGCCCAGGCTGGTTTTTCCAGAAGCCAACAAAGCCAACCCTGGCCGACCCATGGATTTCAAAGAAGGAAGGGCTTCGATGTGCAGATGGTCCAGGATTGAAGCCGGGAAGCTTGAGCGAGCTGAGCTTCTCACTGACACGCCAAAGCCGGGATGTAGTGAGTCAAGGACAAGCATCAAGGCTCCAAAGCATGCCCTGCCATACAGCGGAAAGGCGGTTCCCGGGCATGCGAAGCTTCGGGCAGGCAAGAGCGCTTCCAACGCGGTCTCATCCGAAACGGGCGTGAAGAAGCCGGGGTTTCCCACTCCAAAGGCCGAAGGCGTCGATCCCAAACGACCCAAACTTTGCATCGACAAGGTCGGCTCTAAGCTCGCGAAATCAGGGATCAAGGGTGGAAGCCCTAACCTGGAGCCCCCGAAAACAGAGGAAGCCAAGCCAGGACTGGCAGATGACCGCAGAGACGACGGAAATCCCAGAGACAAAGAGTCCAAGGCTGGCGCCGCGGGCTCTGATCTAGCGAGGCTCTGAGGTGACGGAAAGGACCCCAAGCCCACGAAGTCAGAAGCTAACGGAGAGGCTTCGGGACGGACTAGGCCAAAGAAGGGGAATTCCAACTCTGCCCGTGCGAAGCTGCGAAGTGAGGAAGTGAGCTCAGAGCTGGTAAGGCCACGAACCAAGGTGGGCGAGCCCGGTGTTAGGAAGTCTGGCACCAACACCATGGAGCCGAGCTTGCTAAAGCTTCGAACAGGCAATGCAAACTCCGATTGCAGAGAATCCGGAGTGGAAGCTGAGAATTCTGAGCACGAAGGGCTCCGCACAAAAGGCATGGACTCTGAGAGAGCAGCGTCAGGCACCAGCATGCTGAGGCCTGGATTCAGACTTCCGCAAACCAAAGATGACAAGCCTAAACGCGCAAGAGATCGCGTCGGCAGGCTAAAGCCCAACTGCATAAAGTCTGAGGCAGGCAGTGAAAGCTCGAATCTTGCGCAATCAAAAGCGGACAACATCAGTTCGGGCCGAGCAGAACTTTGTAGTAACAGGAGCAGGCCTGGTTCACAACAATCCAAGATGGGCGACATGAATTCGGACCTCACGGCCCCCAAGACCAAAGTAGCGGCGCCTGCGCACGAGGCAGTCCGGGGAGGCAGCGAGGGTTCTAGATACAAATAGTCCGGGGCTGAAAGTGGCGCACCAGGATGCGAAAGCCGCCTCGTGGGCAAAGAAGGTTCTGGAGTGACCATGTCCAACAGAAAGATGAAGAAGCCCATGCGACACAAGCTGGACGCAAGAGAAGCCACACCCATCTTGGCGAGGGAGCGCAAAGGCAGCGAGCTGCCAGGCTCCAGGAAGTCCAGAGCAAACATGGCCGGCTCCATCCGAACAGGACTCCGCACCGTCGATGAACTATCGAGATAAGCAAGGTCCAGGACTGCCAGGAAAACATCGAGCCTTCCTAGACCGCAGAGAGGTACCGCAAGGGCCAGATGGGCAGAGGTCTGGAGCAGAGGCAAGGGTCCGAGTTCTGAGCTGTCCGGCACTGGAGGCGGCAGGCCCGATCAAGCCAAGCCCATGGCCAGCAAAGGAGTTCCCAATCATCCAAAGCTTCGGATCGAAGGCAAAAGGCCCAGGTGCAAGAAATCCGGTGCGGACACCGGCAAGCTGGGACGACCGATGCCAAAAGGAGACAGAAAGCTTTCAACTCGAGCTGCGCTCTGGGGTGCCATCAACAAACCAAGCTCTGTGCAATCAGGGAGTGAGACGGTCAACTCCAGGCGAAAGCTGCTGAAAAGAAACGGGACGGAACCCGGCCTGCCGCAGCCCCTCAGCAAAGGCGAAGGGCCTGGCTGCAAGCAATCGAAGGTGGACGATGAAGGGTCGAAACGGCCGAGGCTGAAAGCAGAAAGCTGGCTGCCACATTGGGCAGGATGTCTCACAGGAGCAGCAAGCCCCGGCCTTGCAGTGTCAAAGAGGGAAGTCAAGGCTCCCATGCACACCATGCCAAAAGCCGACATAGCCATCCCAGCATAGGCCAAACCTCTAGTTAATGAGTCCGACCCCAAATGTCCAGAATCGAAGGCGAGCGGCACCAAGCCAAATCTCAATCTGTCCGTTGGCGACAGAACTGCACCTGCCTAGCCCAAAGACCGCATCAATAAGGTGCTACCAGGCTGGTCGAGGTCTGATACCAAGGGTGCGGAGCCAGACCTTGCAGCTGTAAGAACTGACAGCATGAGGCCAAGCCTGCCAAAGCTCTTCGGTAAGAGCATCGAGTCCAGGCTAGAGGTGTCCACCAAGGGTAAGCAGCTGCCAACCCTGGCAAAGCCACAGGCAAGAGGTGTGGCTCCCAACCATGCTCTGCTCCTCAGCAACGGGGAAGGGGCCACCTGGGCGACATCTAGAATGAGAGTTGAAGGCCCCAAACGGAGCTGCCCAGAGAGTGAAATCATCAGCTCCGACGCTGCAATGCCCTGCGCTGGAGGTGAAAGCTCCAGCTTCACGGAGTCAGGGACGGCCGTTAAAATCTCTGGACGCGTTGCGCCAAAAGCGAGCAACATCAGCCCTGCCCAGGTGTGAGCACGCGAGGACGAAGCAGAGCCTGTGTCGCAGTCCATCAAGACGGGAACTGCAAAACCAGGCTTTGCAAAGCTCCGGGCCAACAGAGAGAAGTCCGTCTGTGCGTAGTCCAAGAGCAGCAGAGTTAGGCCCATGCAAGCAAGGCCAGGCAAAAACGAAGTCGAGCCAGGTCACTGGAATGATCTTGCTGATGGAGAGGAGCCCATATTCACACAGTCCAGAGCCGGCGCCAGAAGCTCAGAGCGAGCTTTGCCGAAGGCGAAGGGTGTCGGCTCGAGCCTCGCGGGACTTTGCAGTGCCACCAATAGGCCAAGATGCAAGGAATCCAAGACTGGCAACAACACGTCCGTCCATCCAACACCCCAGACTGGTGGTACCGGGTCATGCCATGCCATGCTTCGCACCGAAAGCCCCAGGTCCAAGTGCAGGAAGTCTGATGCCGACAAGCTAAAGCCGGATCAGTTCATGCCCACCACAGGAGAGACCAACCCGACTCAGGAAGGCCTCCTTGGCAAAGGTGACAGGCCCGTCTGGATAAAGTCTGGTACTGGTGGCAACGCGCCAAGGCAAGCCAAGCCGTAGACCAGCAGGAGGGAATCCAACCAAACGCGAGATCTCATCGGCAAGGACAAGCCAAAGTAGTGACTATCAGATGAAAATGTCGACAGCTCCATCCTGACAATGCCGAACATCGGCAAGAGGCTATCAAGTTCAGAAGAAGACCGGGCTACCAGCAAAACACCAGCATGGGCAAAGTCAGACGCCGGCAAGAAGACACCGACTCGAGACAAACTGGACGGCAAAAGTGCCAGTCCCATGCACACCAAGCTCCGCACAGTCAGAAGCAATCCATGGCGGGCATAGTCAGAAGCAGCAAGTGGGGGCCCCAGCCGAGTTGTGCCGAAAGCAATGATCGCGGCTCCCGGCGGGGCATTGCTCTTTACAGAAACAGAAGGCCCCAGTTTCACGAGGTCCGTGGCCAACGACGGGGGATCAAAACGGCCGCAGCTGCAAAGAGGCACGGCACTGCCCACACGCGCCGGGCTTTGCGCAAGCATCGTGGCTCCGGGGAATGTCCAGTCGACCACGAACATGGACATATCCAGGTTAATTCTCCTGGGTGGTGGCGAAAGCAAGCCGATACGGGCAGCACCGCGGGTGAGTAAAGACGAGTCCGGGGAGGCCATGTCTAGCGCAAGAGGTGACGATCCGAGCTTCGACAAGCCCAACGCAAATAGCATACTTCCAAGAACTGTCACTGACTGTGTAGATGGCAGGAAGCCCATGTCAGCACAATCACAAAGGGAAAACAAGGAGCCTGCTCGTGTGATTCCAGATGCTGAAGACATGAACTCAAGCCAGGCGGAAGCCCGAACCATCATTAGCGACCCTGGATGCAAGAAGTCGGCCACCAACGACAACACTTCGAACTTTCCAAGACTGGAGACCAGCATCGGCACTTCACAGCGGGCCATGTTCCTCAGGAAGAGTGTCGGGCCCGAATGCAAGAAGTCGAACGACAGCACGGGGCTGTCCATTCGATTGATTCCCCAGACTGGGAAGGAGAAACCAAGCTCGGCAAGAGATCGAGCAGACGAGACGAGCTCGGCGTGCGCTGCATCAAAGAGAAGAAAGACGAAGCCGAAGCGGGATCTGTAAATGACAAACAGAACGAAGCCTGCTCGGCCAAGCTGCCGCAAAGAAGATGATGGCCCAGGAGCCATGTCATCAAAGATCAACATGAAAGGACCGAAGCGCGCAACGAGCACGACCAAAAGTGCAAGGCCAGCTTGAACAAAGTTTCGCAACAGCGACATCAAGCCAATCGTTACAAAGTCTGAAGTAAGCATCAAAAGCTCTGAGCAGGACATGCCAAAAAGAAGCGTTACTGGCTCGGGACGCATGGACCCTCGTGGCAGCACGGACACGTCCAGAGATGCAGAGTCCAAGGGTGACGAAAAGAAGTCGGGCCGCATGGTTCCGTATGCCAAGATCGGGGGCTCACACCGAGCAGGGCTCTGCGGTGGCATCAACAACTCGATCTGCAGCGAGTCTGGCACAGGCAGCAGCAAACCTGAGTACGTCAAGCCATAGACTAAAGGTGCAGAATCCAATCGGGCAAAGCCACGCGAAGATGGACATGACTCCGTTTGCACGAAATCAATCACAAACGTTAAGATTCCCGGACACGCCAAGCCAAAGAGCGGTGGGCTGAGGCCAAGCCGGGCGAGCGTGTGCACGGCCAGTGAGGGCCCGAGGTGTACCAAATCCGGAACTGAAGGGGGAAGCCCCAATCTCGTCATGCCGTAAGTAGGCACCGAAACCTCGATTTGCATAAGACTCCTCAAGCTCAGAGAGCTGTCTAGATGTAGGGGGTCTAGAACCAACAGCAATGGCTCCAATCACACGGCGCCATAGGCCGGAGGCACGAACCCTGTTCAGACAGATGCCCTCGAGGACGTCACAGGGCCAATGGATCCATGATCCAAGGCGGAGATCGACAGACCTAGCCTGACTAGGCCATAAGCCAACGGTAGCAGACCGGTGTAGGAGAGGCTCCTCAAAAGCAATAGCAAGCCAAAATGCACAAAGTCAAGGGCAGGCAGAAAGGAGTCCGATTTGGAGAAACCAAAGGCTGGCAGGGCTGGCTCGGGGCGCATGTAGGTTCGCAAGGACAGAAAGGGGCCGCAGGAAACATAGTCCAAGACCAGCGGAAGCAAGCCCGATCAAGCCACGCCATAGACCAGTGTCAAGAGCCCCAAGTGCATGGAGCTATGAAGGGCCGTGGGTGAGCCGACGTGCACGGAGTCCGACGCGGGCATCAACAGGCCTGGATAGTTGACACCGGAGACTAGCGGGCTGAGGCCAGGGCAGCAGAGAGACCTCGGGGACAAGGGCGCATCGAGGCTGAGGAAGTCGGGCACTGACAGAGAAGGTCCCGATGCCGAGAAGCCGTAGACGGGTGCAGAGAAGCCAAGTTGGAGGGATGCTTGCAGCAAAAGCGACGGATCGGTAGACACGGGATCCAGAATCAGAAACGAGGCTTCCAAGGTTGCTAGGCCATATGCAGGCATCATCAGGTCAACCCGAAAGAAGCTGCGCAAGAGCGAAGAGGAGCCGGTGCTTGCAGGGTCTGGGGCCAAAATGAAAAAGCCTAGCCATGCCAGTCCGTAAACGGGCATCAAGGGATCGGGTCGGACGCAGCTTCGCAAGAAAGGCACCGAACCCACAGCAATGGAATCCGGAGCAGGAGGCATTGCTCCGAGGCGGCTCATGCCAAAGACTGAGGTCGAAAGGCCCAGCTGCAAAAGGCTTCGTGCCAGAGGCATGGGCTCAAGGCTTGAGAAGTCAGGCGGTAGCAGGGAGAGCCCCGGGCAGGACAAGCCGTACAGAGATGAAAAGAAGCCGGGACGAAGAGGTGTCTTCAGAACTACCATAAGTCCGGGATGTACGGAGTCCAGTGCAGGAAGGGACAGACCAAGCTGCGAAAGCCCGTATGGAAACAGCAAGACCTCCATATGAAGAAAGTTCCTGAGCGGCGTTGGTGACCCGATGCTCACATAATCCGGGATGGACACGAAGCTTTCCGGACGGCTCAAGCCGAAGACCGGCATGCTAAGGCCTGAACACGCAAGTGTTCGCAAAGGCAACAGGAAGTCCATCTGGATGGGATCCAAGACAAACATCAAAAGGCCCAACCAGGCCACGCTGAAAGGCAGAGGCAGGAAACCGAGGCGTGCGCAGCTTCGAGGTGGAGGCGAAAGGCTGAGGCACACGTAATCCAACACTGACAGAAAGTCTTCGATCCTGCTTACTCCAGACACAGGCATGAGAAAGCCAAAACAGACGAAGGTACGCGCGGGAAGCGGGGAGCCCGTCTGCGCGGAGTCCAGGGCCGAGAGAGGTGGCCCCAGTCGCAGCAGGCCGGAAGTTGTGAGCGACGTTCCCGCGCATGCAGAGGACCTCAAGGAAAACGAGCTGCCGAGGGTGACCGAGTCAGGTGTCAGAAGAGAGAGCTCTGTGCGACTGACCCCATATGACGGCACGGAGGATTCAAGCCACATAAGACCATGGAGAGGGGGCGGCAGGCCGAGTGCCATGAAATCCGACACCAGGAGCAAAGGCTCCAGACATGTGAATCCACAGACTGCTGAGAATGACCCCAAACATGCAAGGCCATGTGGCACCGGAGACAAACCCATGTTGGCGGGGTCTGAGGCTAAGATTGAGGACTCCAAGCAGGCGGTGCCCCAAGCAAACACTGGCAAGCCTGAATGTGCAGGCGTCTGCAAGAACGACGAGGAAGCGGTGCTGATGTAATCTAGCACAGACGGCGAGAGCCCCGACCAGGCCAGGCCATAGGCTAAAAGCGCAAAGCCCAAGCAAGCAAGGCCTCGAAGCGGAGGCGTGAAGGCCAGGTGGGTGAAGTCCAAGGCCGTTGTGCTGAAGCCAGGCTTTGACATGCCGAACACCGGCGAGGTGAGGCCGAGCTGCATGAAGCTTCGGAGAAGCAACAGCAAGCCCACAGACAAAGAGTCGATAACAAGCCTCGATCACTCGGGACTCGGACACAGAAGTTGAACCTCTAGACTCTAGGCTACGTAACGCAACTGCAAGCTGTAAGTGCCCTGCAATAGCAGCCCAAGCTTGGACAAGCCATAGGCGAAGAGCAACGGATCGGAGCAGCCAGGCGATCGCAAAAGCGGCAGCAGCCTCGGAACATCAGTTCAAGATGTGGGTCCATCAAGGAAACTCAACAATGCCAGGCTGCCCCAAGTGGACGAGGTCGAGGACTGGCAGGAACGGGCCCGACTGCGAGAACCCGAACACGGGTAGCGCCACGCCTGAGCCTGCAGAGCAAGTTGGATCTGGATTGACCTGTCTTCTAGGTTGTCAACAGGAGAAAGTCCCTGTTTCAGCCAGTGAGAAGAAGCCGCACAGCTTGCTTAGGTGCTGGCGGACGGGTGCATGAAGAGTCGTCGGAGAGCCAGGATTCACCAGGTCCGGTGCCGGAAGGGAGGCTTCCAGGCAGGCCTCTCATGATCAACGGTGTCAGGGCCCCATCTCCATCTCTTCAAATCTACGAAGCCCTCTTTAGAAGCTCAGCTTCGGGCGATGCCGTAGACCAATGGAGGCAGCTCCAGGCACACGGGACTCCCTTAGACAGACGGTGTAAGCCGGATGAAGAGACAATAGGGAGAAAAGAAGCACTGTGACTATCTTATGAACCAGTCCGCACTAGATAACCTCGCGGGTCTCTGTAAGGGACAGCAACGCCGCCAAGGCGCGTAGCATTATCGTTGGATCGAGGTTCACGAAATCCAACGCCAACATCGGCGAGCCAAGACACGACCTGCAGTGCAAGCGCCCTCAGAGGCCTGTGCAGAGGCCTGGGATGGTCTGGGATACTGACATGCCGTAGGCCGGCAGTAGAAAATCAAGATGGCCGAAGGCCCGCAGCACCTCGGCAGCTAGGCTGGCAGCTAGGCTAGGGGTCTAGGAGGTCAGCTATCGGAAGGCATCGGACACACGTGCGGACGAGGCACCAGCAGTGGCCCTGCATGCACAAAGTCCGAGGCCGACGAGAAGGCTCCGAGCCGCGCCAGACCAAAAGGCGAGGCCGGGAAGCCTCGCAGAGTCTCCCCGAGTCTCGGAGAGTCTCTCTTTGTTTCCCTCTTTGGGTTTAGGTTTAGGCTTTGGGGCCATTTTAGGGTTTAGGGTTTAGGGGCTCCCCCACTTCCCCTCTTCTGAAATCCCCCGCCTAGTCGGCAGGATGCCCTCGAGAGCAGCGGAGGTTCCAGGCTGAGGAGGTCCAACGCCGAGGGCAAGGATTCCGTGCAGCACAGGCCGGAGACCGGCGTAGAGGAACCGGCCCAGAAAAGGCCATGCCTCGGCAAAAATGGGAGGCATGGGGCTCTTTTCCCTTTCAGGCGTCTCTCGGCTACGAAAAACTGCTCACAGCGAATCGCACACTGGAGTGGAAGGCATACATCCTTTTCTTGATCATGGCCTGCTTTGGACTTTGGTGACCTTCCTTTTAGAAAGCCCCACGCCTTGCACCATTCAGGGAGAGCAACCGCACGTCTCAATTAGGTCCACTCTCTGCCTGACATGACATGACCCGACATGCGCTGCGCGGGTTGCACGCCAGTCTAAGCTAGAAGCATCTAGAAGCCAGAAATGGATGTCCCGGGTGACACGTCTGGGGACGCTATGATCACAGCGAGGCTAGATGCCTTGGGCCGCGGCCTCGCTGTTTACAATGTGTTGTCGTGGCAAGCTTGCCAGGTTTCCACGGACTTGAAGGGATGGAACGCTACGACATGAGGGTCTGTGCAAGAGTCCCAATCTTTCGGTGGATCGCAGTGGCGCTCTTGAAGAAGGTCATAGAGGTTCACCCGGTCGATGGTTCTGTTTGCCTTCCTCTTGAGGCACTGATCGCACCAAAGATCTTCTCCCCAATTGCAATCGCCACTGCACAAATCAAGGAAGTAGTAGTAGCAGGTCTCAAACAGGCCCCAAAGAGCAAGAACCGCATTTTGAGAGAAAACCTCGAGCGGACCGTGCATCCCGTACTTGCAGTTGTTGAAGTAAACCTGGCGGGGGTCAAGAAGGAACGTACGTCAAACCTATTCAAGAAGCCGACTCTCCACTAAGTCCGGGAGTACAGGGGAGGACATGCTGTTTCTGAGGAGTGCGCCCCCTTGCCATCATAACCGGAAGCTCTGTCGTCGTACTTGGCAAGCAGGGGCTGAAGCCGATTGAAGAGAAAGACGGTGTCGGCATCTGCCTTGATGACATAGTTGTAGTTGAGAAAATCCCCATCCACGAAGAGTTGCTTCCAATAGGCAGCGAAAATCCTCAGGTTCAGCGCCGTCTTGAACTCCCCGCCGGTCTCGCACATCTGCGATGTGTAGACCTTTTTTGTAACCAGTCCTTCCGTAAGGACCATCTCTTGGTTGCTGTAGACAGCAAAGCCCGTGCACGCGAAAATTCCCAACTTCTGATTGTACTGCTGGGTCATCAAGCCCATTTCGTAAGAGTACGCTCGCATCCTTGGCTGATCTGCGCCTAAGCCCTAACCCGGTCAAAACCCGCAGACCCCTAAAGCCCCAAACCCTCAGCCACTAACCCCGAAGAGCACTAAAACCAAGAACTGTTTATCCTCTGATTCCAGCGGCAGAGCTGTGCAGAAGCAGCTCCCAGGACTGGCTGGGCTGGGACCTGGGGTGCTCTAAAGAGGCTAAAAGCAGAGGCCTCATAAACTCTAGGCTGCAATCTACATATACATATGTATATACGCATGCACTGCATGCGTGCATGCGTGTACGCAAATGCCCAGGCGCAAGTGGAAACGTATATGCTTTGTATTCTGGTAAGAGACAAATGAAAAGTAGCCTGGTAATCTAGTTCAATGCTCAGGTAGATACTGTCGAAACCAAATCACTAAGTCGCGGACTCGGAGGCTTTGACATCCGGAAGATGTGCGCCTGACAAAAGCTTGGCCGGCTTTCCGACACTACTCAAACGATTCCTGGAACATATACATATACGTATACATATATGCATGTATGTACTTTTCTGATATACACACAAATGCATGTACACGCACACGCACACACAGACTCACGCATATATACGTACATACATACATACATACATACATACATACTTACATACTTACATACTTACATACATGCATACGTACGTACGTACATACATACATACATACATACATGTACACACACATATATGGACATGTTTGTCCGTTTATGCATAAATATTATGCATACATGAATGTATATTGTATATGTTTAGATCCAAACTTATATTTACATCCATCGCAACCGTCCCGAAGCGGCGCCTCTGTTGGTACACGATGTTATTGAGTTGCTGTCGGCTCTCGTGGTCTTATGATGCAGCATTGCGCCGTCGCATCGCCAAGTCTTCCTCTCTAACTCAACTATTGCCATGATGTCATATTGTCATGATGAAGCGGTCAACCCTCGTTCAGTAGCTTGTGACAGCGCTACAGCAATGTCAGATAGTGAAAATGCTTCCAGATGTTTTCCAGGGCGAGACATTGGCTAGCATGATACGATCACATTCTGGTATGATGCAAAATTGCCAGTTGTAGGTCATCCTTATCATCCTATGATCTGCGTTGTCTTGCGTAGTTGCTAAATTCTCCATATTAGCGCATGCATGCCACATCTGTTCATGTCATTGTTTGGATACATACTCTCTCTATACATTGACATAGATCTACTCTACACGCCAGGTTGTACTGTGCCGGGTCAGGGTCGTGCCAAGGTCGTGAATTCACGATTCCCCTCAAGAACCCATCCAGCAGTCTTGCAATCGTGTCCTCGGACAAGATGTTGATTACGTATAATGAAATTATTCTCGAGCACCGTCACGCTGGTTTCCAATCTATCATGTCGATGGAGTATGTTTATGCGCAAACGAAATTACTGCACTGCTACGGCAACAATAAACAAGAAGAGCGCTCCGACGCAATGAACATGTGGCAAACCCGCCGAAGCCGTGTACATCGATTCCCACGGCGTTCTCCGTGGGCAACTTGCTTTTGTTTTGCACTAATCGAAAACATCTGTATGTGTTGTATCAAGTTTTCTTCTTCGTGAATGTGCAGAATGGCAAAGTGCCCTCAGGTTCTGGGTGAGTTTGCTATTGAACGTCGGTATGTAGGTGTGAGAGAACGTGCAAATGTGAAAGCATTCACAGTGTTGCTCGCTCGAGTTGTTGCGATTTGACTTGATGCAGTAGCGCGCGGTGCACTATCGTCGGAGCGTGAATCAGACCACAAGGAGAACAGCTACGAGTAGTACCGAGTATCAATACGCACCAGTAGCACTAGTCGAGTGGGCTTCCGGGTTCAAAGTAAGGATGGTGACAACGGTTTGTGCCGTGGTTTGGACATGGATTTTTTGGGGGAACGAATGCGCCGCTCACCAGACGTCATGATGCTCTGAGGAAAGGATGAAAGCGAGGATGCGCCGTATATACGTACGCTGTCCACACACGAAGTAAAGGGCATGCGGCAAATTGCGATGTTCTTGGCATGTGCGAAAGCACGGTGGAAAGGGTATTCCTGCCTTCGACCAAGCAAACTACCGTAAGCATCGATGAATACGGCATCTGTGGCGTGCACATTTTCATTGTGCCGGAGCCAAGAAGACTACGTGGCGCTATCGCGATCCACGGTCCTATTTTTGGTATACCGCTCATGATAACATCAAGCCCGAACCCATAAACCCTAAACTCCCTAGACCCTAAACCCCTCAACCCTAAACCCCTAAGCCCTAAACCCCCTAAACCCCCTAAACCCCCTAAACCCCTAAACCCTAGCTGATAGGAATCTTCGGGTTCCCCAGCAGTGACTGGCCTCGTCTGGGGGCCACAAGGCTTGGCTTGCAGGTGTTCGGCAGCCACAGGGAAGGCCTCCCAAATAGGGATTAGGGTTTAGGGGTTTCGGGGATTAGGGTTTAGGGGTATAGGGTTTAGGGTTTAGGGGTATAGGGTTTAGGGTTTGGGGAAATAGGGTTTAGGGTTTGGGGTCGAGACTTCACTAGAACTCTTCAGCGGCCCATGGGTTGGTTGTAGGACCACCATGTTCCTTGAAGATTATTCGGGTAGTCGAGTTCAATGCTTGGGCTGCTAGCCCCAAGAAGCAACATCGTATTCTTCACGTACAAAAACTTACTCAAGTTTCAGAATCTCGAGCTCCCAGCCCTCTCAGCTCTTCAGCCTGCGATCGTCTCCTTCTTGCTGACCAACTTGATTTCCTCGTTCGGGTTCAGCTTCTTCATGAAGCATACATCTGAGAGCCCAGGCACATTCCTGGGCAAGGAGCTCCTATCTATCATCTTTTACCACGAAGATGTCTTGTTCCATTCACTGTGATTCTTGCGCTCCCCTAAACCCTAAACATCCCTAAACCCTAAACCCTGCTCATGGGGGAACGTCCCCACATCCAGAACGCAGCACAGGGCTCCGCGCGGCGCCCCACGAGAAGACAGCACAACCCTGGGTGTTTGCGCACTTCTCCTGGCACGCATTGGCCGATGTGATGCCTGCGGGCATTCAAGAGCAAGGTTTAGGGTTTAGGGGTCGGACACAAATTCACTGTCGGCAGTCATCATAGTCGCTAGATGGGTCGCCCCTACAGCAGACGTGAATACACTCCAGAGTTTGGCAATGCTTAGGCGATGTGCTTCGACGCACTCTCGGCGTGGAGGCCATGCTGCCCTTGTTGTTGTTACTGATGCTGCTGCTTCTGATTGTAATGTCCAAACCATCCCAGGCCTTCCATGGGAGCGAATGCATTCTCTGTCACGGCATCGGTCTGCAGCATGTGCGTCGGACAGCTTTGTCCTTCCTGACAAAGGACGGAGGACGGGGTTGGGGAAAAAATGGAGCTACGAGTTTCTGAGCTTTCGCGCCTGCCCAGGTCGACAGCAGGGCAACGCGGCGATGACGCCCTGCTTCTCCATCATGTCTGGAGCTCCAGAGACTTTCTTCAGGAAGCAGACGTCCGACAGGCCTGGCCAAAGCTGGAGCATCATAAACTTCATAAACCCTGACAAACCGACATGCCATTCCGACTCATCAACCGACCGGACACCTTCGACGTCGCGGACTGCGCCCCAAACAGAAGCATCACAGTCGCTTTCCGTGCACATCCGTTGGCAGTGACCTGCAGTTGGCACCTTGGCATCTCATGCCGATCGCACAGGGCCGTGTCAGTCAGTAAGCGCTTGCACGCCCTCAAGCTCGACAAACCATCTCGCTGCAAACCGGCGCAGTCCGGTGACTCTGAACATGCCGCCAGACTACAGAACTCTAGTCCTAGTTCCCTTGCACAGTTGATCCCGGGGCGCATCTTGGATGATTCTCACATTCTGTCCCTGTGGAATGTCGCGATTCACGACCTGCGCGGGGCAAGCCTTGACTTGCTGCCACTTCAGGAGCTCTAACCTCGGACAGACGGGTTTGCTGGATTCCTCTCTCTTACCATGAAGCGCCAATTACGGTGCAAACAAGTTAAGTTGAATCCCCACGAAGCATACCAGGCAGATGAATAACAATAACGAAACTCCTTGTCGTAGTCGTCGTAGTCGTCGTAGCAGCAGCAGCAGCAGCAGCAGCAGCAGCAGCGGCAGCAGTAGCAGCAATAATAGTAGCCGTCGTCGTCGTCGTCGTAGTGGTCGTCGTCGTAGTAGTAGGAACAGCAACAGCAGCAGCAGGAGGAGGAGGAGGAGCAGTAGTAGTAGTAGTCGTCGTTGTCGTCGTCGTCGTCGCAAGCCGCAGCAGTAGGCATTGTTGTTGTTGTTGTTGTAGGACGAGGAGTAGGAGTAGTAGCAGGAGTAGGATGAGGAGGAGCAGCAGTCGTCGTCGTCGTCACCGCTGTCGGAGTCGCGCTGATAGCAACAAGTATACTGATAGCAGATTAGCAAGATGGCAGTCAAACAACGCAACGTGCGCTGCAGGCAAGTTACATGTCTTCCTTTTGCGAGTCGAAGTCCGAGCTCCACTCGGAGGGAGACCAAGGATCGGAGACTTCGTAGTCGACTTGGCCGCCGTAAGAGCCACCGCCGGTGCTTCCAGCGTGTTTATGTGACTTCCTGAGTTGCAGTTTCGGGGCTTCCGGATCTTCCAGGTACCTCTACGACTCTACTAGTTCAGAAAGGGTTTCAGATCTAAAGAAGTATCCCAAATTGCCAGCTAGCTTCCAGCTGTTCTCATGTCGGACGGGGACGGGCCGGGGCGTGGTTGTGGCGATTCGGTGGCTGGGAGTGTGACGCAGGGCACTCTTGTGAGTTGAACTCTCTGAGCTGGCTGTAGAGGTGCTGGGCAGGGTTTTCTTCTCCGATGTTTGGGGCAACGTGGAGCTTGTGGTAGCCTCGGTGGATGTTGTGCTTTCCTCTCTGTGGTGGAAGGACGGGCCCGGGTCATGGGGTGCTTGGTGCCCATACTCCTCGCCATCGTCACCTTTGTCGCCATCTCCATCCCAGTACTGACCTTCCAGGCACAGGGTGCACAGCGCGCACAGCCGGAGCCACAACTTCTGCTTGCACATGAAGCTTCACATTATGATTCGGTAGAGCATTTTCATCACAAGCAGAATTACATCGATACTGCCACAACCACGCACGGCCATCACTGCCACTACCCTATCACGACCACCACGGCAACTGCGACCACCACTGCTACCACCACCACCGTCACCACCGCCCCCACTACCATTGCTGCTCCACAACTACGACCACCATTATCACTCCTGATGCAGCTCAAGTTCAGCGGTGAGATTGCAGAGTCTGCCTTTAGTGCTACCAGCGTTATGCGTCCATGGCTTCACCAACACGGTCCACAGCACGTGAGCGCTTGCGATTGTGGAAGATGCAGCCTGGCCTGAGTCGGCGTCACCATCACCCGCCTCGCCTTCCCGATCGTAACGGCCACCCTCACTGCCACTGCCGCCACCACCCATACAGAGCATCTCGAAGTCATGGCAACAGTTCCCGGCTTCGCGGCAGCTAGGAACGCACTGGCCTTGCACACGACAAAACAAGAGGGGCAGAGAGGGAGAAAGAGAGAGCGAGGGAGAGAGAGAGAGAGACTCTGCTTGTTGAATTGGCAGCATGTGTGCGTGCGTGTGTGTGTGTGTATATCTATACATACAAATATTTGTATTCTTGCTGAGAAAGCAAACAACGTGCAACGGAACTTCAACACCTGCATTGCATCAAAATCTGCATCTCAATGTCTATAGATAGAGAAAAGAATGCCCCTATATGGGTACATACATATACTTATATATATGTATATATATATATATGTGCCCGATACCTTTAGGGTCTATATAACCGCGGTTTTTTCTCTTCAGCACATAATGGAAAGCAAAATGTAATATCCAAGCACAGCCCACATTACAAAACCATAACCCGAAAAGTTTCAGACCGGCTATGCTATTTTTTTAATAAATAATT